CTATCTCGCTACCACCTGCGGCATCGCGGGATAGTAGTAGGGTCAGGCGTCGAGAGATCGACTGACTGCCCTCGCAATCCTGTTCATTCTGATCGTTCAATGGCCTCGCCATCGTTTCTTCGTTTATTGTTCGATTCTTCAAGTCGGGGGTTCGGTTCTTCCGGTTTCTCCAGCCGTTCGATCAATTCTTCTTCGGTTCTTTGTCCTCTCGGCAGTTTGTCCCCGTGTTGCCGTCTCACGGTCGATCCAATTCAGTCAGTTCAATTCCTCGCTTCTCCCAGCCGTTGGTCCCCACGTCGCTGGCACGCGGTCGAAGTTTGCAGCTGCAAGGGTGTCTGCGTCGACTGCCAGTAGTAGACGCGCCAGACCGTTCCCTGAAGCCGTAGAAAAGGTAAAGAAAGAGTAGATGAACCTAGTCTAATGTGACGAACCCAAATTCATTCCCTAGTAGATCTATCCTGAAGGTATGGAGCGGTTCAATACTAGAAGACTAGGTTAGGGGGAAAAAGAAGAAGCCAGGAGATGAGGCCCCAAGAGGGGGTCATAGGCCTGGTATTCTGCCGGTCCATTCCTTCACCGCCTACCACCCCGCTCACATGATCCCGAGTATCAGCGCCGTCACAGTCCAAAGGTAAAAAAAAAATTTCGAAGAAAACTCGAGAAAGATCACAAAGAAAAAAAAAAGCCTTCGTCTGGGGAATGGAGAACGAGCAAGAACAAACCAGTGGACGATTTCTTATTTACATTTGTTGCCACCCCCATTTGAGAGGTGGCTACGAAGGCTGTCTATCTTTGAGAGATCGATCGTCTATTCGCTACCAGATTCGGAACTGCCAGCGATTTTTTGACAGGAACGCTCTAGCATATCTTGGAGGGCAAGAGAACCTTCACATGGACAGGTACTATTGGATTGTACTAAAGCCCAGCGAGCCAGCACTTGATAATTGTAAAACGAGCAAAGAAATCCAAATTTGACAAACGTTTTCTTCAACATGAGAGTCAGAATCCCTCATTTTATCCATATAGCAATATTTTGTTCACTACTTCACTTGACTCATCCAACCTACAATAGACCATCTTCCGAATAGTGTTGCCATCCTCCTTTTTTTTTATTGAGAACCGCCGCCTGCCTAACGTCTTGCTCTCTTCAAAACTTAGGCACCTCACCAAGATAATTCGAATGATATGACAGATCTTCCCGTACGATTCACACTAACCAGACATGGAATTCTCCTTTACGATCCATCATGGCCTGTGATAAATATCGCTAATTGACGTGCAAGGTCATAGGTCATTGGATGCTCAGCTTCAGCCAGATGGAATTGAATAATGAGAACTTTATGCTAATTGAATAATGAGAACTTTATGCTATGTCCTGGTAGGTTCCTACCTAGGTGCCTAGTTACAGACCTTGGCAGAGTACCCAGATATGATGCTCTAGGATCATTAGTCCTGGCATTTTTCAGCACATGGTTGGAACATGGGCAGGATGTGGACCGAATTATGTTTACTGATAGAGTACCTCCGTAGAAACCGGGGGATGGCGGTACACAGGACCCATCAGTGTTGACTCCCTACCTAGTTATGTATAATTATACTTGCGGAGGTACTTGTAAAGTCCAGAACTCCGGACATTAGAAATCGCAACGACAAAACCTCCTGCCTCATCAGGCATCCATTCACGCCCGGAATAGGCATGACGATGGAAAAACTCCAACGGGCAGAGGATGCCTCGAGACATAGTTCCCCGGTTGATCATCAACCGGTGTGCGTCGGGCGCGGTGATTGGAGGGACGGATGTATACTTCCAGCCCGAATAAAGGCCCCCAGCCAATAGGAGAGGGCGCGGGGCCCCCTTTTTCTCGGAAGATGGCCGTCCAACTGCAATTAATCGCCAAAACTAAATCCGTAGGCGAAAGGACTAATGAATTCTCTTTTTTTACTTCACCGTGGTGGTAGGAATCTCGTTTGCATTCCCAGAAATGGGGGATCGGTAGGTGGTCACCGAATGTTCCTCAGCAACCATGTGGTTCTTTGGGTTCTGAGTGGCTGGGCAGCACAATTGCAGGCGGTGAAAATCGAACCCTGCAGACGACCAAGTCTAAAC